TACTAAGGGTGGGCTAGTGGATACTTAGAGGAAACTAACCTGGGGAAATTTAATTAGGCAGCAAAAGTTGTAATATATACCAAACTGTCCCAGAATGAAAGATGATGATGCTAACCATAGAAACCTATGTGGATCCAGTGACACCTCCTGGTAGCACTGATGTTAAACTAGGGGGGTGCTTCCCCGGGCCTAGTCACCAGGGCTTGACTTCATAGAGCAAAACAGTTGTTTGTCAATTGCATCTTTCCCTGGCAATTTCAATGCATTCCATTTTACACTACATAGAAACACTAAATACTTTCCTGCATGAGGCTGGTAGTTTCGTCTGCTCCCTTACACCCTAGACAAAGGCATCTCATTTTAGGTTGTTCCTTAAATAATTCACTTGTAAGCAAAAGAAAGTACCTAAAGTAAACCAGCACTGGGTCTGGGTGTACTTGGACATTCAGAGGTGACTGGGTCCATCCACTGTGTTCCGTCCTGTGCCATCATGCGCCACTGGGCCACAGCAATACCATGGGGCCACAGTAATGCCACGGGGCCACAGTAATGCCACAGGGCCACAGCAATGCCACGGGGCCACAGTAATGGGTCACAGTCACCAAGAGGTGACTGGGAGATTCACTGACTCACCAGCCCACTGCAGTAACTACTGTATATATTCAATATGTTCAATTCAGCCCCCATAATTCAACAACAGCTTTAAAGGGGCTGTGTACAAGTATAGTATAACTTAAATAACCTTGCAAACATTTTCACAGCTAGTTCTAGACTTCAAGAGACAGTTTAATCAATGCTTAAAGGGAAGAGCAGAGAGAAGTCTGTGTTTTCTTACACCATACCAATCTGGGACTAAAAAAGATGGAAGTTTGCAAACGTGGACTGTAATATTAGTTGGTTCTTGACCCTTACTTCCCATCAGTCCCCAATCCTGTGCTGATCTGAGATCCCTCCCCATGCCCACCTTCCCTCTAGCGACTTGGAAACCCAAGTCCACACAGGTGATCTGTGGTCACTGTCATGTACAGGGTTCAGTTCCCAACACCCTCAGGATGAGAGGCAGCTGCAGAGCCTTGTCACATGTCACCCATGCTCTTTCCTGTCACCAGCATGCCAGGGTTCTCAGCTCCATTTCCTAATGCCTGCCGAGCCAGGCCGGGCCAGAGCTGCCTGCTCTGGTCACTTCAAGCTCAGGCCCCTGTGGCTGCACCTGCTTTTTCTGGGGGGTGGAGAGTGGAAACCTCCTTCCCTTGTTCATGTGGCTCACTCAGCCACAAGAGCTGAGCGCCCAGGCATGAGTTCATTTTGCTTGCAGAGTCTCACAGAGATGCGTGTCAAGGCAGCTTTTTCTCCATTTTCCTGCAGTGCCCTCCAATAGATACCATGGCTTTTTGGCTTAGGAGCACTCACACACTGACTTTTCTGTCACTGTTCATTCATGTATTCTTCCCAGCAATCCTGTCAATTTAATGCCATCTAACCTCGTCTAAATGCTGCTTGAGATGAGGAAACTGAGGCCAGCAGAGGGGAGGTGCTTGCCCAAGCTCACTTAGGGATGGTGCTGCCCCATGCCCTGAAGGCACTCGGACCTCCATACAGAAGGCGAGCTGAAGTCAAGCTCAGCAAGGGCCACCTGTCCAACTTCCAGTTAACTTCCTCTGACGGCCACTGCTGGCCTCCAACCAGAGCTGGTCCCCTCATGTTTGTGCTAGATTTCGACATTCGTTGGGGGCCCCTTGAGGATCTAGAAAAAGCAATGGAAAACACAGAAACACTGAATTTTGAATACAACATGTATGTATGTATGGGCACAGGGGTTGATGAAACCCCCAGAGCCTATCTGTGGACCACAGCTGTAAACCTTTGGCATGGATTCTGCGTGAGAAGGCTACCAGCTTTCTCATGCAAACTGATCTAAAGGTAGCTGGCCAGATAATCCCAGAACATGCCAACGCATGAGTCGCACTCCTCGGGTCAGTCACGGCATGATCCCTGTGTGTGCTGCTGGCCAGCTGCAGAACCAGCTAGAAGGGAAGGGTGCTGTGAGACACAGAAGAGGAAATGTGATGATCATGTTAAGGACTTGACTGATGCACAGAAGAATTCTGGCGGCTGGGAGACCTCTCTCTGTGGCCCTCCGTCCTGAAAACCTGTGCAGGAAGCAAGTCTCAGGGGGAGTTCCCCCACTGGGCTAACCAGTGACTGAATCAAAATTTCCACACTTCAATAGGCTGCACCCAAAGGAAGTGCTAGCACCGCCTTCTGCAGACCTCACACTCATCCATTCCCACCGCGGATGCAACACAGCCCGTCTGTTCTCCTACCCATAGGAGCCTGCCCTTCATTCTCCTCCTCCTGGGGCAGGAGATTCACTGGATCTGCAGTCAAACCCCGACTCTCCCAGGTGCTCACCTGACACTGCAGGTCCCCTCTGTACACAAGCATAGCAGTTCCAGTGAGCATCAGACAGCATACCCCTGGTGCAGAGTCTGTGCTCATCAATTTTAGTCCTTTCCAGCCCCGACCCAGGCCTTCTTGGAACCCAAGGCATGCCTGCTCTGCTGCCGACATCTGTGCTGGGACCTAGGGCATCCGTCCTATCCATCCAGGAAGCCTGAGAGCTCTGAGCAAGCCAACATCCTTGTCTAAACTCAGGTGTCTCTCTCTACCACCTCGGCAGGCTGAATGACATCCTTCTCCATCCGGAGGCCACACCTTCCACCCCATGGTAAACCCAAAGCTACTCCATATCCTGTTCTGGGATCTCCCCACTTCCAATACAGCAACGGGCTTCAGAGGTAGTTTCTGAAACTACATTGCTCCAAACTATTACTCTAAGTGTGGCCTCCAGTTTATCCCTCAGTTCCGGAAGACCAGGATCCCTTTGGAGATAGGCGGAGCTCACCCCGTGTGCCCCCAGTCCCTGCTCTGGTTCTCAGGCTGCCTAGATGTGAGGCTTTTCAAACTCACCCCCCACTTCTCTCACATGGACTCCTAGAGGGCCCCTTACTTTGATCAGGTCAAACCCTGCCACCAACACTGGGCAAATGGGAAGCAAACCGCCGTTCACATTTTTAGGTCTACCTGGGCAGAAATAAAGCTGAACAGACATTTTTCAGGGAGATTCCCAATGCCGGTAAAGTTTCCTAGGGGAACGTTTCTGTGGCCGACAAACACGGATGCAGAACAAATGACTGTGGGGATGCAACAGCGCAACCCGGGGCACAGCGTTCGCAGCCCCGTGCCGGCCACACCTGCCCCGCCACACAGCCTGAGTCAACACAGCAGCTCCTCTGCAAGGCATGGAGACTCGGTCACGCCACAGGGCTGTGGGCAGTCCCACAGATGAGCCAGGCCCCAGACAAGAGCTCAGCACATGACTTTGTCTTTTCTGCAAACTTATATCTCTTATTTTCCTTACTCCCACTGTCACCTATTGTCTAAAATAAGATTCTTCTTCAGGCTGCCGCTACTCTCAGACTAAAACTCCAGCTCCGTGATGTTTTCCACAGCCCCGCTCCCTCTGTGGCGCTCCACACATGCCAAGCTCTACCCCTCCACGTCACCCTCCTCTTCCTCTGCCCCTCTGCTCCGTGTTACCCTCCCTGCAGCTGGGTGAGCCGTCCTCCAAGCGCCCCCTCCGGCTGCGTGACCCGTCCTCCATGCGCCCCCGCCAGCCGGGTGAGCCGTGGTCCATGCGCCCCCGCCAGCCGGGTGAGCCGTCCTCCACGCGCCCCCTGTGGCCGGGTGAGCTGTGCTCCATACACCCACAGCGTCCAGTGGATGTCTCTGAGGCCACAGGCCCCACAACTCACTATAAGTGGGAACATGTATGTCTCCCCCATAATCGTAAAGCCTTTGAGGGCAAGGACGTCTGTTGCATCTTCCTTGAGCACCACCACCGGGCACAGTGCCTGCCCACCACCAGAGCTCAGTCTTCCTGCACTTTCTTTTCGGAGCACGTGCCTGACTTCCAGGGTCCTCAGGCCTGACCTTGGCTCCCTGCCAGCTCCGTCTCCCACCACCCCTCCCCACACGTGGACTTCAGTCACACCTAAGGACCTGAACAACAGCGACAAGGCCCGGCCACCACGGCCCTGTGCTGCACAGGCTCTCCTCTGCCCATCTGCCTGCTGCCCCTCAAGAACACCCCTCCTCAACTCACCTCTAAGCAGGAGGTGCTGCTTGCTCCCATTATCCTGTTGAAGGCTCTTTATTAACTCTCCCTATCCTGGACAGACAACCACATCATGCTGGCATCTGCCTATCTGCCTCTCCCTACCAGCCACATTCTGAAGCTCCCTGGCAACTGAGGAGACCAGGGCAGCCAGTGGGAGGCCTGCGGGAGGAGGAGGGTGCTGGCTAGTTCCCCTCCCTCTCTGCGTCTCCTGCAAGGCTCCAGTGCCCTGACCCTCCAGCTGGGGTGAAGGTAGCTTCCTGCTGCCGCTACTGTCTGTCGGCCTCTCTCCTGACACCTTCACAGCCGAGGCGCCTCATCTCCTTCCCCTGCGCTTCCTGGAATGGGCTCTGCTGCCAGTCTCACTGTCTCTTACAATTTGTACTTAGTATTATTTAGGAGAGAGACTGTATCTTACTCATTTTTCTATAAAGACTGTATAGTGACTAGACTAAATGTTACTGAATCACTTAAAATATTATAAATTTGATTCAGAAAATGTTATTTTTCCAAGGAGGACAAAATTCCAAATTGAAAAGTTTTGTATATTTTTATTATACATTATAAGAAATATATAGGTTAAAAAATTGAGGTACACATTTAAAAAAAAAAAAAAAAAAAAAAAAAGTATTAAAAATGTAGACATTTTTTTAAAAGCCAAAAAAGCTGAATGTATCTTGCAGCACAGGTCTACCCTTAAATATTCACATTTCAAAGCCGTTTTGAAAAGATTTAAAAATTGGCTAAAAATAATTTACAATTGGCAATGATTAAAAATCTCCTTATCTTTGGAAAAGCATATTAATGACACATAATGAATTTCAAATCATGAGCATTTAACGGTTTAATCAAGCATGTAGTTTTTACCAGTATACAAAATGAGACTTAGTACAAAACGGTCTTAAGCTGTCACTGCAATTGTTTCTGGGTGAGTACTTCACGGGGAAAAGCATACTTCACCAAACACAGAGTATCAACATTCAAGTGTCCTTTTCCACGAGTTTCAACTTAAGACAGAAGAACAGCATTTAATAACTGCATCCCTGGTGGAAAAAAGAGAGGGAAAAAACAATATACTATTCCTCAAGAGCAAAGTTGCAGAAAACGTTCCTGCTGAATCACGTTTTTTAACAGAACTCAATGGACTCTCCAACACATTTTTTGATTAACAAAAACTTTGTTCAGTATCACTTAAAATTAAGAACTGAGACTTGAAAACATTTTGCAAAATTTTGACATGGTATTTATCTTAAGAAATTTTTACTGGCACATACACGGATCTTGATACAAAGAAATAAGTTTAAATACCAAAACTAACCTAACAAAAGATCTTTTTTTTCTGAAACAGGCTCTCGCTCTATCTTCCAGGCTAAGTGCAGTGGCGTGAAGGTGTGAACAGATCCTCCCACTTCAGCCTCCCAGGGAGCTGAGACTATAGGGCATGCCACCATGCCAAGCTAATTTTTTTTTTTTTTTTTTTTTT